CTGTGCCCCCTCCTCCCCTCCGTGCTGCTGCAGCTCCCTTCCTGTGCCACCCCAACCTGTGGATCCGCTACGGGGCGGTGGGCTTCATCACGGTCATCGCTCAGCACCTGAACGTGGCCGACGTCTACTGCAAGCTGATGCCTCACCTGAACCCCTTCATCACGCAGCCCATCATCCAGGTCCAGACCCTCCTCTTCCTCAGCATCCCGCCCAATCACCTGCTTCATCACCTCCTTCCTCACCTGCTTCATCACCTCCTTCCTCACCTGCTTCATAGGATTAGATGAGAATAAGATCACTTTATTGATCCCAATTTGGGACATTTTTGCGTTGCAGCAGCATAAGACAGGGAAGTTCAAGTGCTTGAAAGTGTTTAAAAGGTGCTTGAAAGTGTTTAAAAGGAGCTTGAAAGTGTTTAAAAGGTGCTTGAAATGTGCTTGAAAGTGTTTTAAAGGTGCTTGAAAGTGTTTTAAAGGAGCTTGAAAGTGTTTAAAAGGTGCTTGAAATGTGCTTGAAAGTGTTTTAAAGGAGCTTGAAAGTGTTTAAAAGGTGCTTGAAAGTGTTTTAAAGCTGCTTGAAAGTGTTTTAAAGGAGCTTGAAAGTGTTTAAAAGGTGCTTGAAAGGAGCTTGAAAGTGTTTAAAAGGTGCTTGAAATGTGCTTGAAAGTGTTTTAAAGGTGCTTGAAAGTGTTTTAAAGGAGCTTGAAAGTGTTTAAAAGGAGCTTGAAAGTGTTTAAAAGGTGCTTGAAAGTGTTTTTAAAGGTGCTTGAAAGTGTTTTAAAGGTGCTTGAAAGTGTTTAAAAGGAGCTTGAAAGTGTTTAAAAGGTGCTTGTAAGGTGCTTGAAAGTGTTTAAAAGGTGCTTGAAAGTGTTTAAAAGGAGCTTGAAAGTGTTTTAAAGGAGCTTGAAAGTGTTTAAAAGGTGCTTGAAAGTGTTTTAAAGGTGCTTGAAAGTGTTTAAAAGTTGCTTGAAAGTGTTTAAAAGGTGCTTGAAAGTGTTTAAAAGGAGCTTGAAAGTGTTTAAAAGTAGCTTGAAAGTGTTTAAAAGGTGCTTGAAAGGTGCTTGAAAGTGTTTTAAAGGTGCTTGAAAGTGTTTAAAAGTTGCTTGAAAGTGTTTAAAAAGTGCTTGAAAGTGTTTAAAAGGTGCTTGAAAGTGTTTTAAAAGGAGCTTGAAAGTGTTTAAAAGGAGCTTGAAAGTGTTTAAAATGTGCTTGAAAGGTGCTTGAAAGTGTTTTAAAGGTGCTTGAAAGTGTTTAAAAGGTGCTTGAATCCCCTCAGATCGATAAGGAGCTTGTGCTGCTGAGCGTGCTGAAGGAGCCGGTCAGTCGCTCCATCTTCGACTACGCCCTGCGATCCAAAGACATCGCCAGCCTCTTCCGCCACCTGCTGCTGAGACAGAAGAAACGAGCCGGATCCATCCCAGAATGCCCGGCGGCAGAGGACCCCGCCATCGCTCAGATGCTGAAGAAGCTGCTCTCACAGGTGGGATAAACGCTGTTCGGTCTGGAGAACACCTCACCCAGTTTAGATCTAATCAAATCAACCAACTTTATTTGTATAGCCCATTATCACAAATCACGTTTGTCTCAGTGGGCTTTACAGGAGAACAACATTGTATATGATGCAGTTACAGCAACATGATGAATACAATACAAATAGAAATAAAACAAAAATAAAATAAGATACAATAAAAATACATAAGACTTTCAAATTAATTACCATAAAAATAAAATAAAATGAATTCCATAAAATGCCAGCTGTAACTGAAGGCTTTGTTAAAAATGTAGGTCTTCAACGCACTCTTAAACGTTTGGACCCTCTCTGATTAAAACAGGAAGTTGGTTCCAGAGAAAGGGAACGCTCTGACTGCTGATCTTGATCTAAGTTTAGCATATGGCTAAACAACGGCTTGGCTGAATTGGATGGTTTTGGAGGTTATTGAGGATGCTGAATCAATTTCTGACATTTTCAGGATCAACAATTGCAGTTTAAACCAGAAAGTGGCCATATCTGTTCTGTGTGGACTGATTTTGATCATTTCTGGTTGATTTTAAAGTTTTAAGGGTCTCCAAACCGCCATTTTTGACCTCCAGAACCTCCAAAACGTTCAGTACTTAGACTCAAATACAGGCTACCCATTGGTTGAGGGGAGGATGTGGCTCAGTGCGGTGATCTTTGGATCCGGGGGGGGCACTGGTTCAAATCCCGATCCTTAATTAACATTCACTCAGCTCTGCATAACTGTGATCTAACTCACCTCAAACCACAGGGGGTCTCATCCTGCTGTTTAACACACACACACACACACACACACACACACACACACACACACACACACACACACACACACACACACACACACACACACACACACACACACACAAAACTTTGATGTGTTGTGTCTTGACCTGAAGTGACTCATTACGGTCTGATTAAAGGCTGCTGCTGCTGCTGGTGTGTGTGTGTGTGTGTGTGTGTGTGTGTGTGTGTGTGTTTGTTGTTGTTGTTGTGTGATACTGTCTACATGTTGTTTTGATTGATTCCATGTGTCATCAGTGCTGTACAGAAAAGCAGCTGAATGGTTTTAAATACTTCCTCAGAATGAACACACACTGTGTCGCCGTGTGTTCGACATCAGGAACAAGCTGGCTTTGAAAACTGAATCAAACGTCAGTGTCGGTTTGATGGATGTCTCGTAAAAGCTCCATCTGGAAAATACATTCAGTGTCTGGGAAATTCATGTTTTTAAAGTTCTGAGGAAAAACCACAAGCATGCTTCACACATCTGCTCTATTCACAAATCACACAACAACACGCACTCACTCCGTTTGACTTTAAAAGATTACAAATGGAATAAAATATGCTTATTAATATAGGTTAAAGTAAAATGTCTAATAAAAAAAAATGTAAATACAAATATTTGAATAAATAAAAGGAGTTGAAGGAAATTGTCTATTAAAATAAAAAACTAAATTAAAAAAAGTGTATATTAATATAAAAAGTAGTAAAATGTCCAATAAAAGGTTAAAATTATATATATATATTGATATAAACATAATAAAATAAAATGTTTAATAAAAGAAAGAAAATGTGCAAAGAAAAATATAAAAATAAAATAAAATGATCATATGTGCATTTAAATAAATAAATGGCAAGATGCAAACAGATGAATGTTTATGGAGGCACTTTAACACACCCTGTAGTGAGGTCTCTGTTTAACACACCCTGCAGAGAGGTCTCTGTTTAACACACCCTGCAGTGAGGTCTCTGTTTAACACACCCTGCAGTGAGGTCTCTGTTTAACACACCCTGTAGTGAGGTCTCTGTTTAACACACCCTGCAGAGAGGTCTCTGTTTAACACACCCTGCAGTGAGGTCTCTGTTTAACACACCCTGCAGAGAGGTCTCTGTTTAACACACCCTGCAGTGAGGTCTCTGTTTAAAGCTCCCATGTCATGCTTTTCCGGTTATTACCCGTCCCCTTGTGTGTTATGAAGGTTTTTATGCATGTAAACGGTGTGCAGAGTCAAAACCCTCAAAGTACACCCTGTAGCGAGTAAAACTCTAACACAGAAAATACCTCCCCAAAACGCCTCGTTGGAGATACGTCACTGCCCATTTGATTCTTCCGGGTACCGCCTGATGTCATGCGGTACCCGGAACGAAATGGACCAATCCCGAAGAGCTATGGCCACACCAGCAGCGGCGTGTTCCTCCTCCAGAGGTTCGAAGAACCGGCATTTCACAGACGAAAGCTTCCAAAACATTGCCCAGTTTGAGGCCGGATATGCACAGCTTGTTTGGACCGTTTGGAGCAGGGGAAGATCCGGGTATACAACCTGTAAGTTTGCATTGTTATTTGTGTATTTATCAAACAAGACTGTTTAAATGTGTAAACTGTGTTGGACTGCTAAGCCATTGACACAGTGCTAACTGTGCTAACTAAGTTGCTAGAGTTTCCATATATCAACTCTAATATCAGCAGATGGCCTTGCATACATGTATCTCATAGCAGGAGAATGTCTGCATTCACACACAAAATACCTATTGACAGTATACTGCGGGTGATTTGCCGGTCAGTCGCGAAACGTAATTACATTATAGCTGGCGTAGCGATCTAACACACGGAGCTTGAGCTAGTTTTGGTCAGAAAAAACATTTTTGTGATGCTACGTTGCTAGCGTTTAAATATATCAACTACAATGTCAGCAGATGGCCTTACATGTTTGTCATGGCAGGAGAATGTCTGCAGTCACACACACGGAATACTCATACAGTATACTCCGGTTTACCGTACATTGTGACCGTACATATACTGCATGTAGCTAACGAGGCTAGCTGTATGCTAGCGCAAAACAATGTATTCATGCAAGTTACATTGTATGGTAGCAGAATACCCGTATACGATTGCAATTATAAACACGTTATTGCTAGCCTAATATGAACCACTAGCTTTTGTTCATAGTAGTTTTATTACACTGCATTATAGTTGCCTTTCCTCCAAGCTAACGTTCATATCGTGTTAGCTACCAAGGTAAACAAAGCTAGGTTAGCATATTAGCAGGCAAGCTGTTCATTACACAACTACTACTAACGAATCTAAAACAACTAAGTTTCTCTAATATTTTGTGATTTGCATTTGATTTCGTCCAGCCAGATCCTGGCGGACAATCCATGACGTGCTAAAAGGCACTTCTACTACTACTGAGGCGTCGTGCTAAAAGGCACCGCACTGACTGTGCGCAGGCAAGATGCAAGGAGGAGGAATGGATGATATACCGTGTATATATGTATATTTATGTTCATTTTGTACATTTCTAAAAATAAAGTTTAATGGAAATACTTAGTAGGCCTATCCTTTCTTCCCTGAATTCATATATAGCAAACCATGATTTGATTTCTCATCAAACAGTAGTAGTTTATAACGGGTAAAAATAAACTTACTCTTTGTTATGAGCGGCTCGTAGGCCACAAAGACAAGGAGACCATACACGAGTTTACAAAACCACGGCACATTTATTGTGATAAATGCAGAGATAGGTGGTTGAGAGGATCGCAGAGTTAGTCTTCCTGCAGCCGCTTTGGAGAGAGACTGGGGCCGTAGTGTCCGGAGGTGTCCGTGATCGTGCTGATTAGCCTCTTCAGCTCCACCCCATCGTAAGACAAAGGCCCTGGGGCCGTCACACTCTTCTATAACAACAGTTAAAAATATATATGTATATAAAATTATACCGCTGTACCGACGCCATGATAAGACTGATGTTACGCTGAGAGCAGCCGGGGAAAAGCACTGTTAGACATGGGCGCAGCCTCTCTGGTGGTTGACTAATCAGAACGAGTGGCCGAGCTGACCAATCGGAGCACACTAGGCTCACAGGGAGGGGGGGGCAAGAGCCTCCAACGAGTCGTTTAGTGGAGAAAGTGAATACTGCTGAATACACATGCTTGACAGAGATGCTGTATGCGAAACCAATGTGAGTTTGGAAAATTGCACAGTATAAATCTATTTTAGTATACCTCAACAATGTAATTATGATCAGTGGAAATGGCCATGACATGGGCCCTTTAACACACCCTGCAGTGAGGTCTCTGTTTAACACACCCTGTAGTGAGGTCTCTGTTTAACACACCCTGCAGTGAGGTCTCTGTTTAACACACCCTGCAGTGAGGTCTCTGTTTAACACACCCTGTAGTGAGGTCTCTGTTTAACACACCCTGTAGTGAGGTCTCTGTTTAACACACCCTGCAGTGAGGTCTCTGTTTAACACACCCTGCAGTGAGGTCTCTGTTTAACACACCCTGCAGTGAGGTCTCTGTTTAACACACCCTGCAGTGAGGTCTCTGTTTAACACACCCTGCAGTGAGGTCTCTGTTTAACACACCCTGTAGTGAGGTCTCTGTTTAACACACCCTGCAGTGAGGTCTCTGTTTAACACACCCTGCAGTGAGGTCTCTGTTTAACACACCCTGTAGTGAGGTCTCTGTTTAACACACCCTGTAGTGAGGTCTCTGTTTAACACACCCTGTAGTGAGGTCTCTGTTTAACACACCCTGCAGTGAGGTCTCTGTTTAACACACCCTGCAGTGAGGTCTCTGTTTAACACACCCTGTAGTGAGGTCTCTGTTTAACACACCCCTGTAGTGAGGTCTCTGTTTTAACACACCCTGCAGTGAGGTCTCTGTTTTAACACACCCTGCAGTGAGGTCTCTGTTTAACACACCCTGTAGTGAGGTCTCTGTTTAACACACCCTGTAGTGAGGTCTCTGTTTAACACCACCCTGCAGTGAGGTCTCTGTTTAACACACCCTGCAGTGAGGTCTCTGTTTTAACACACCCTGCAGTGAGGTCTCTGTTTAACACACCCCTGTAGTGAGGTCTCTGTTTACACACCCTGTAGTGAGGTCTCTGTTTAACACACCCTGTAGTGAGGTCTCTGTTTAACACACCCTGCAGTGAGGTCTCTGTTTAACACACCCTGCAGTGAGGTCTCTGTTTAACACACCCTGTAGTGAGGTCTCTGTTTAACACACCCTGTAGTGAGGTCTCTGTTTAACACACCCTGTAGTGAGGTCTCTGTTGACCGTGCTACCGTTAAGCTCCGACGTTATCGGTACTGGAGACATTTCAAAAAGATACGTCATGTGTGTTATTGCTACATAAACATTATATCGCAGTTCTAGTTTCGCCAACTCCGTTTCTAACACGATGCGCCTATGATGTATTTTCTATCTTTCCAATCCAGACGGGAGAGATCTCTCTCTCCCGTCTGTGTGTGAGGGGGCGGGGCGGTTTACACACACACACACAGAGACAGACAGACACACAGACACACACACACACACACACAGACACACACACACACACACACACACAGACACACAGACACACACACACACAGACACACACACACACACAGACACACACACACACACAGACACACACACACACACACACAGACACACAGACACACACACACACAGACACAGACACAGACACACACACACACAGACACACACACACACACACACACACACACAGACACACACACAGACACACACACACACAGACACACACAGACACACACACACACACACACAGACACACACACACACAGACACATACACACACACACACAGACACACACAGACACAGACACACACACACACACACAGACACACACACACACACAGACACATACACACACACACACAGACACACACAGACACACAGACACAGACACACAGACACACACACACAGACACAGACACACACACACACACAGACACACACACACACACACAGACACACACACATAGACACACACACAGACACACACACAGACACACACACACAGACACACACACACACACACACACACACAGATAGACACACAGACACACACACACACACAGACACACACACACACACACACACACACACACACACAGACACACACAGACACAGACACACACACACACACACACACACACACACACAGACACACACACACAGACACAACACACCATAGACACACACACAGACACACACACAGACACACACACACACATACACACACACACACACACAGACACACACAGACACACAGACACAGACACACACACACACACACACAGACACACACAGACACACACACACACAGACACACACACATAGACACACACACACAGACACACACACAGACACACACACACATACACACACACACACACAGACACACACACACACAGACACACCACATAGACACACACACAGACACACACACACACACACACACACACACACACACACACACACACACACACACACACACACACACACACACACGGTGGAGAGAGAACGCGCTCTGAGGTGTTACCAATGCTCGTTACCTAAAGTGCACTCAGAGTTTAGCATGTGAGGGCGGTACCACGAGCAGTTTGTCATTCAGCCAAAGTGCTCCACGTCCAGACGGAGCAATGCACCGGGTTCAACTGTCTCTCTAGCAGCTCTGTAGCCCCGTCCAGAGTAACGTTTCCACGTCAGGTGTTATGTATCCTTAATCTTCCTCCAGAAGAGCCGTTAGCAGCATACCTGTCTGCCCACCTGTGTTGCTCTGTACCACTGTGTGTGTTTTACAGTTTACATTATTTACAATTTGTTTAGTTAGTTTACTTTTTTTTCTTTCTCAAAAGAACCGATAATACCCCTTTCACACCAACGGTGTTTCAGGGCCGGTTCGGTGCTGGTGCTTGAAAAGCACCGGGTTTTCCTGTTCACACCGCAGCGGAGCAGCGTCATAGCTCCGGAATCCGGTTCGTTTCGAGCACCAAAAAGTTGTCCGTCTAGAAGCAAGAACCGCATACGTCACGCTTACGTCGGAGGGGGGCGAGATTAACCTGAGCTAACACTTAAGGCGAGTACGGCAAATAAAAGTTGTAACAAGCAGTAGTGCTGAGCAAAGTGACTAGAACGCAACCACACACTTGTTAAAAAAAACACACTTTATAAAGTCAGGCAACACTAACCAGGCTTCGTGTGATTCTGTTTACTTGACCATCCGTTCGCTGTTATTGATCATTGTGGAGAGCAGGCAGACGTTTTGTTTGTTATTATAGCAGCTATCGGATGGAATCAATACATGGGCTGCACAGGTTGTCATGTCCGACTATCACAAGTAGAATCATAATGAAAAATACGTCGGTAAAAAGTGCCTGTAGAAAACTGCTTAGCAAGTAGTCAGTTTAGCTTCGGTTGCTATGCTAACATCACCCATGTTATACCAGAGAAACTTTCATAACAGCGTTGTGATGCCAAACAGCGTCAATTCAGACTGACACCAAACAGCGTCAATTCAGACTGACACACATTCACTTAAGGGGAACTGGGGATATGTATCAGCTGCTTGTGTGACAGTCAGACAGTGAATACTTTAGAGCCGTGTGAGCTAACCCGGAGCTAACGGGAGAATACACTCCCGTTGAAGAGCAGCCGGCCAGCACTGCAGCGGTCGGTAAATGCCGCTGAAACACATTAATAAACAATGAACCACGGCACTCTGGAGAAAAGTACAAGGTTGGAGAAGTCGTTATTTAATTTAATCTGGCTTCGTATGATTAAAAGCAACGCAGTCCCCGGCCCGTTGTTGTGAGGTGAGCTCCGGCGTTGGGGAGAAACTCAGCGACGTAAACTGTGACGTCATGACGCAGCAGCGGCAGCACCAGTCGGGCTCTGAGCGGTGTGAAAAGAGCCGGCGCTAAACCGAAGAACCGGTTCTGAACCAGAAAAGCTCTAGCACGGAGCTTGAACCGGAGTTGCGTTGGTGTGAAAGGGGCATAAGAGTACCGTTAAAGAACCGGATCGATAAGCGGTATCGATAAAAGTAGTAGTACCGTTAAAACCTTAACGATACCCATCCCTACACAAGACACTTTATTTATCCTCTTGGGGAAATTGAGGCGTTTTATAGCAGCAACCGGTTCAGAGAGTTTGATGTGTTTGCCGTGTCGTGGACAGTCCCCATTGATCAACTGGCACATCACACAGAACATGGAGCAGCTTGAGCCAACATGGCTCATTTCCAGCTGTTGTCCAGATGATAATAGAAACCTTTCTAAAATCACAATGCATCAGGATATCACAGTAAGAAGTTGAGCGTTTGTATGAACGTGTTAAATATATTTACATACATATTCCAATTACTGTATATAGACTATTCTGCACGGTTTCTATTATATTCTATTTATTTGTATTTACTTGCACTGTTATCTGTGTTATTGTGTTGCTCTGTTGGAGGAGGAGCCTAATATTTTCATTGATATATAACTACACGACAATAAAAGCCTTTGAACTTGAATAAATGTGCAGGTTTTTTCAAGGTTCAAGGGTTTCATAGTCACAACTGTGCACAGCTCCAGTCCCAAGCTCCTCCAACAGAGCAACACAATGACACAGTAGTAGTGCCATGAGAGTGTACAAGTGATACATAGCGTGTGAGTAGCAGCCAGGTGGATGTTCTGGATGTCCAGGTGGATGTTCTGGATGTCCAGGTGGATGTTCTGGATGTCCAGGTGGATGTTCTGGATGTCCAGGTGGATGTTCTGGATGTCCAGGTGGATGTTCTGGATGTCCAGGTGGATGTTCTGGATGTCCAGGTGGATGTTCTGGATGTCCAGGTGGATGTTCTGGATGTCCAGGTGGATGTTCTGGAGGTCCAGGTGTGCGTCAGCCTCCCTGTGGGATGAGAGCAGGTTAAAGGGTTGTTTGTGTTTTCGGTGCAGGGGATGACGGAGCCGGAGGAAGACAAGCTGCTGGCGCTCAAAGACTTCATGTTGAAGTCCAACAAGGCCAAAGCCAACATGGGGGACCCCGGCCCGGCGGGGGAGGGGCTCAGCGGGGTCATCGACCTGCTGACCCTGGGGATCACCGGCCGGCAGGTGGACCTGGTGAAGCCCAGAGCCGAGCCCGACGACAAGAGAGGTGACACTTTTATACAGAACATCATGTATTAAATTAAATAAGTGAGGGTGGAAATACACTAACGTCATTTTCATTTCTTCCAAATAATAAAATGAGTAAATAGATTTAAAAAAATGTTTAATAAATAACATTAAAGTAAAGAAACACATTGAAAACAAGTTGATCATTTACCTTTTATATAAGTAAATAAGTAAAGTAATAAATAAATACAAATATTAATAAAATATAATATCAATAATAAATCAAAGAAACATATATATATATTATAATTATATTTGACTGAGTAAATGTGGGTTTGAAGACCCTACATGTTTTATCCAAACAATTAAAATAATAAATAAATAAAAAAACTATTTAATATCTAAAATCTTTAACTTCATTGCTAGCTTTACTCAAATGAGATTCTAAACGTAGGACTTTTATTTGTAATAGAGTATTTTGATATGAGCGATTTGGAAGTGCTTCCTCCACCTCGATCAAGATCATTTTCTTTCCTCTTTCTTCCGTTTGCTCAGAGGTTAGTGATGCCAGTCTCTTCCTGAATGATTCACTGGAACCATCTGGAACGATGTGATCTCTCTTCTCACTGCACACAGACCCAAACACAGCTAATGGAATGACATCCGGCTGCAACGTGTGTGCCGTGGTGCTCTCAACATGGCTGAGACTTTATAGACTTAGTTAGTTAATGATGGTGGGGAGTCCTCTGACCGGCTGCTTTAATTAACCTGTTGTTGTTGTTGTTGTCCTGCAGCGAGGAAGCACACCAAGCAGGACTCCACCATGAACGAGGAGTGGAAGAGCATGTTCGGGTCGCAGGAGCCCGCCTCCACCCAGCCGCCCACGGTAACATCACATCACAGTCCTGCATACTTTTATACAGATTCGTATATTTGTATTCGGGATTGTTGGAAACGTTATTCTCTCCGTCTGTACACACACAGAGAGAGAGATTGACTTTAACGTTGACTTCTTTCAAGATTCAAAGGTTTTATTGTATTGCTCATGAGCTTCAGTGTAAAAACGGCAATGACATTCTCCTGACCTGAGCTCCTCCCACAATGCATCATATATAATAAAATACACAATAGTGCAAAAAGTCTATATACTTGTTAGCAACGCTGCTCGTCCCGGAGCGTTGCTACAACGTGCATTAAAAGAAAAAACATTGGGAATGATCAGGAGTGGTTTGCTCTGCTCGTTTTCACTCAAATGGCTAAAGACTGAGCGTTCCCCCCCGAGGACTGAGTGGGAAATCAACAGAGCTCCAAGTCCTCCACCTTTCAGGTCATTCTTTATCGGAGAAAGAGTTTAGAAGGTGTTCATTAAATTAGAGTGGCAGAGAAACTCAGGGATGTTAGCCTTTGCAGACCCTTCACATGCACTAACACCTATAGACCTACAGCAGAGGGAACACGTATCGACCCTCTTTAAATCAAAAGGCTTTTTCTTTGTTGCATTCATTCAAATGAAAAATGAAACAAAGCATGTCCCTTATCTCTGCGTGCATGGAGCTACATCTCTAAATAGGTACTTGAAGAGTTTTTTCAGGTTGATTCATTTTAACAATTTTCTTTAAAGGTCCCATGTCATGCTTTTCCGGTTATGACCCGTCCCCTTGTGTGTTATGAAGGTTTTAATGCATGTGAACGGTCTGCAGAGTCACAAACCCTCAAAGTACCAATCCACAGACTTCCTCACACACACACACACACACACACACACACACACACACACACACACACACACACACACACACACACACACACACACACACACACACACACACACACACACACACACACACTCAATCTTTTCTCAGCTGCAGCTCCGCCGATTTCTCCTCCCTGAGACGGCAGGACACGGCGAGGCTGTGAGTCGGTGTGTGTGTGTGTGTGTTCGGGCTGGTTTCGGGCTGTGTCTCGCTGTCTTGCAGACGGCCACTGGGCTCACAGGGAGGGGGGGGGGCAGGAGCTCCACCAAGCCGTGTAGGACAGAGAGTGAATACACATACTATACAGAGATGCTGTATGAGAAACCAATGTGAGTTTGGATAATTGAACAATATAAATCTATTCTAGTAGACCTCAACAATGGAATTATGATCAGTAGAAATGGCCATGACACGGGACCTTTAAGAAATACCTTTTTTGTACACATTTCAATTTGATAAATATTTTGATATTTGAGTCCTTTTCTCCAGCTGCTGATTTGATGCTTCATGTTAGAACTCTCTCCCTGGTCTCCAGCTTGAGCTTCAGTCTCAGGATCCATGTGTCTCTGATCCTCTCCAGAATGGAAGCAGTCATCACATACAGAGCATCAACTAGTTCCTGAACAGTGTCCTTCTGATATGCAGGAGATGGATCACAGTCAGACTGCAGGCAGACACTGCACCTACTATGTCTTCTTTGTTGAGGACACCTTGAGTGCAGGATCACAGGGAAGATGTGTTTATGTTCCCAGAGGATTAACATCGTCACCAGCTCTCAGACGCACACAGTCCGCCTTCTTACCATTATCTTTTACAGTCCTAAACTATTCACTTTCTGTCCTTGAAAGGGGAAAATACTGAATGTCCTCTTCCAACATGAGAGTAACATGCTAACAAAGGTATCCCAACTGTAGCTGTGAACATGACAGGATGTGTGATTACCTAGAAGAGCATCAGGACTGTTTGAGGCATATGATAGCTATGTGATTAACATGATGATTCAGCCTCTATGGAGATAGACATATGACAAGCATGCTCATTTCTGACGTGGAGCTAATCTGAAGTAAACATTGAATACTGCTTTCTATTCCTCCATCTTGTGACTGTGTAACTCCCTCTCTTGGATATCAGCATGTGAAGGACACTGTTCAGGAACTAGCTGATGCTCTGTATGTGATGACTACTTCCATTCTTGCATCTTGTGATGTGGAAACATTGAAAACGCGTCGCAGCATAAAGCCAAGCTTAGCCTCTCGGCGACTCAAATTTAAATGGGAATTGAGCCGCCACAAGTATAATAACCGGCATTGTGTGTGTGTGTGTGTGTGTGTGTGTGTGTGTGTGTGTGTGTGTGTGTGTGTGTGTGTGTGTGTGTGTGTGTGTGTGTGTGTGTGTGTGTGTGTGTGTGTGTGTGTGTGTGTGTGTGTGTGTGTGTGCAGGCGGAGGGTCAGGTGAGGAAGAGCTCGGCTCCGCCCCCCGCTCTGGCGGCTGTTCAGAGCGGGCCGGCCTATCAGAGACGGCTGAACACCTGCAGGGTGGAGCTGCAGCAGCTGGTTCAGCAGAGGAGAGAGCAGAGCAGCGCTGAGAGGAAGCACAAGCACATGATGGAGAGCGCAGAGTGGGAGAGCAGACCCCCCCCTCCAGGTACACACACACACACACACACACACATACACACACATACATACATACATACATACATACATACATACATACATACATACACACACACACTGTACCTGTGAGTGGTGCCTGTGTGTTTACCTGTGTGTGTTACCTGTGTGTTACCTGTGTGTTTACCTGTGTGTTTACCTGTGTGTGTTACCTGTGTGTTACCTGTGTGTTTACCTGTGTGTTACCTGTGTGTTTCAGGGTGGCACCCTAAGGGGCTGCTGGTGGCTCACCTTCACGAACACAAAGCGGCCGTGAACAGGATCAGAGTTTCCGACGAACACTCGATCTTCGCCACGGCCTCCAACGACGGCACCGTCAAAGTGTGGGACAGCCAGAAGATGGAGGGCAAGACCACCACCACCAGGTGAGGCTGGGACACACACACACACACACACACACACACACACACACACACACACACACACACACACACACACACACACACACACACACACACACACACACACACACACACACACACACACACACACAGGTATTCATTGCAACACCTTTATTGATTTCCATTTCAAAGGTGTTATCATCATATGCTCAGCAGCTACAGTACATTCTTCTGACCTGAGCTCCTCCAACAATGCATCGTATATAATCAAATACAAAAATATGAGATAGTGCAAGAAGTCTGTATACATGAAGATAGAATACGACAGGCACAAGAACAGAATATGAAATGAAATAATACATTAAGACAAAATTAAATACGGTTTATTGCGGTGATAACTATTCATATAAATTAGTAGATTGCAAGATGGCAAACAGATGAATGTTTATCGGGCCACATCACAGAGCTCAGGTGTTTATCAGTCTTATGCTAAACAACGTGTACAGGTACCTTTTAAAGTGCTCCTTTGCTTTGGTTACCAGAGTGGGACACTTTCTCAGCTGTTGTGTTCTCCTGCAGGTCGGTGCTGACGTACTCTCGTATCGGCGGTCACGTGAAGACGTTGACTTTCTGCCAGGGCTCTCATTACCTGGCCGTGGCCTCAGATAACGGATCCATCCAGCTGCTGGCAGTCGAGGCCAACAAACCCCCCAAATCCCCCAAAGTGCAGCCCTTCCAGACCAGGTACCTGAGCGATACATCACAGTCCAGCTGATGCTTTTAGCCTGAGCTTACAATATGTTCAATAAACCATGAAGATGCTAAGATCAGAACGTTAACTTCAAACTTCAAAGACAACATGTTTAAAGTGATTCTTAATCAATTGAGAGCTGTGGATGAGTCCTAAAACCAGAAATGACTCAGCATTTTATCACTTCCTGTCCACTGGTCTGTAGGTCAAAAGTACTTCAGTAAATACCCCACTGGTGGATTTACAAACAGAGGTTGCTAACAAGTGTCTAAATGAGACGACAAAACGTCATCAAGCCCAACATTAGCTTCCTTTAGCTTAGCGGTGGTGACGTGAAGTCATGTGACCGTGCTGTAGTTCCTTTATAGCCCAACATTAGCCACCTTTAGCTTAGCGGTGGTGACGTGAAGTCATGTGACCGTGCTGTAGTTCCCTTATAGCCAAACATTCGCCACCTTTAGCTTAGCGGTGGTGACGTGGAGTCATGTGACCGTGCTGTAGTTCCCTTATAGCCCAACATTAGCCACCTTTAGCTTAGCGGTGGTGACGTGAAGTCATGTGACCGTGCTGTAGTTCCTTTATAGCCCAACATTAGCCACCTTTAGCTTAGCGGTGGTGACGTGAAGTCATGTGACCGTGCTGTAGTTCCCTTATAGCCAAACATTCACCACCTTTAGCTTAGCGGTGGTGACGTGGAGTCATGTGACCGTGCTGTAGTTCCCTTATAGCCCAACATTAGCCACCTTTAGCTTAGCGGTGGTGACGTGGAGTCATGTGACCGTGCTGTAGTTCCCTTATAGCCCAACATTAGCCACCTTTAGCTTAGCGGTGGTGACGTGGAGTCATGTGACCGTGCTGTAGTTCCTTTATAGCCCAACATTAGCCACCTTTAGCTTAGCGGTGGTGACGTGAAGTCATGTGACCGTGCTGTAGTTCCTTTATAGCCCAACATTAGCCACCTTTAGCTTAGCGGTGGTGACGTGAAGTCATGTGACCGTGCTGTAGTTCCCTTATAGCCCAACATTAGCCACCTTTAGCTTAGCGGTAGTGACGTGGAGTCATGTGACCGTGCTGTAGTTCCCTTATAGCCCAACATTAGCCACCTTTAGCTTAGCGGTGGTGACGTGAAGTCATGTGACCGTGCTGTAGTTCCCTTATAGCCCAACATTAGCCACCTTTAGCTTAGCGGTGGTGACGTGGAGTCATGTGATCGTGCTGTAGTTCCCTTATAGCCCAACATTAGCCACCTTTAGCTTAGCGGTGGTGACGTGAAGTCATGTGACCGTGCTGTAGTTCCCTTATAGCCCAACATTAGCCACCTTTAGCTTAGCGGTGGTGACGTGAAGTCATGTGACCGTGCTGTAGTTCCCTTATAGCCCAACATTAGCCACCTTTAGCTTAGCGGTGGTGATGTGAAGTCATGTGACCGTGCTGTAGTTCCTTTATAGCCCAACATTAGCCACCTTTAGCTTAGCGGTGGTGATGTGAAGTCATGTGACCGTGCTGTAGTTCCTTTATAGCCCAACATTAGCCACCTTTAGCTTAGCGGTGGTGACGTGAAGTCATGTGACCGTGCTGTAGTTCCGTTATAGCCAAACATTAGCTTTTTACCCCAGAAATCATAAAGTGCTGTTAATATGTGGAGATTATCTGCTGAACTAAACGTGTAAATATCAAAAACATTACGATTATTTTCTGCAATAATCCAAAATCACATGGAGAAATCCCATTGGACCAGGGAGATGCTGCCTTCAGGGACAGGTGCAAAAATACCATTGTCAGGATCGACCAAATTAGAATCGAGTTTTTAACTAAGCAGTGTAATAAAGTATATATATATGTCCTCTGGATGTTACTCACTGTGTGTGTGTGTGTGTGTCAGGGCTCTGGACCTGCAGGAGGACGGCTGTGCGGTGGACATCCATCACTTTAACTCGGGCGCTCAGTCGGTGTTAGCCTACGCAACGGTTAACGGCTCCCTGGTGGGCTGGGACCTCCGCTCCAACTCCAACGCCTGGACGCTGCGCCACGACCTCCGCCTCGGACTCATCACCTCCTTCACCGTCGACATGCACCAGTGCTGGCTCTGCCTCGGTGTGTGTGTGTGTGTGTGTGTGTGTGTGTGTGTGTGTGTGTGTGTGTGTGTGTGTGTGTGTGTGTGTGTGTGTGTGTGTGTGTGTGTGTGTGTGGTGTGTGTGTGTGTGTGTGTGTGTGTGTGTGTGTGTGTGTGTGTGTGTGTGTGTGTGTGTTGTGTGTGTGTGTGTGTGTGTGTGTGTGTGTGTGTGTGTGTGTGTGTGTGTGTGTGTGTGTGTGTGTGTGTGTGTGTGTGTGTGTGTGTGTGTGTGTGTGTGTGTGTGTGTGTGTGTGTGTGTGTGTGTGTGTGTGTGTATAGATATGCATTAGGACTGTTAATCTAAATGTAATGTAATTCTCTATATGGACTAATGCAAAATTCCAATATGTGTTCCCATCATAGACGGTATAGGGGCGGGACCTATCGGAGTACTTCCTGTAGTTAATCTCCCCACTTCCTGTTTCTCCCACAGGTACGAGCAGCGGCACCATGGCATGCTGGGATATGCGGTTCCAGCTGCCCATCTCTAACCACACCCACCCCGCCCGAGCACGAATCAGACGGCTGCTGATGCATCCTCTCTATCAATCCTGGGTCATCGCAGGTGAGAGGGGCGTCCGTCTGGATGGTTAGAATAATCAAGATGAAGTGTAAATCACTTTGTAATGAACGCCCACTTTCCAGTGAAAACAAAGAACTGGCGTCTAGTTTCATCTGGCCTCAAAGCTGCTGTGGGCGTCAAACAATACAAAACAAAACTGATTTTCTTTACCTTCAAACCTCTGAATCTGATTTGACCTCTAGTCACATGACAGCAATGGTGTTCACCATAAAAGGGGCGGGGCATGACGTACAGGTTAACAGTGGGTTGGTGTCATGTAAAACACCCTTTCATTGTCTCTCAGTGTGTAACTGTCTCACCCTGTGTGTGTGTGTGTGCGTGTGTGTGTGTGTGTGTGTGTGTGTGTGTGTGTGTGTGTGTGTGTGTAGCTGTGCAGGGGAACAACGAAGTGTCGATGTGGGACATGGAGACGGGGGATCGTAAGTTCACCCTGTGGGCGAGCTCTGCTCCTCCACTCTCTGAGATGCAGGTAGGCGTGTGTGTGTGCGTGTTATTTGACTAAATGGATGTCAGTAGGTTAGAGAATCCTTCTCAGTTACCGATGGACACTTTCTAAGACATCAGCAGCTGAACATAGAGGAGCGTTTAGCTGCTAACGACATTTATCTCAGGAGTAATAATTAATAATGGTATAAATAATGTAAATAACAATAAATAATAAAATGTGTGTGTGTGTGTGTGGCAGCCCTCTCCTCACAGTGTGCATGGGATCTACTGCAGCCCTGCTGATGGAAACCCTCTGCTGCTGACGGCTGGATCTGACATGAGGATCAGGTACAACAACAACGCTTTCACGCAATGTAAAACTCTTTAAATCAAACAAACGCTCAAACAAAAATGTTCCCAACTCGAGGAATGTTTTATAAAATGAGACAGAGACAGCTGTTCAGCTGTGTGCGTCACTCTTTAGTGTCCCCTGGTCTCCCAGCTGTGTGCGTCACTCTTTAGTGTCCCCTGGTCTCCCAGCCGTGTGCGTCACTCTTTAGTGTCCCCTGGTCTCCCAGCCGTGTGCGTCACTCTTTAGTGTCCCCTGGTCTCCCAGCTGTGTGCGTCACTCTTTAGTGGTCCCTGGTCTCCAGCTGTGTGCGTCACTCTTTAGTGTCCCCTGGTCTCCAGCTGTGTGCGTCACTCTTTAGTGTCCCCTGGTCTCCCAGCTGTGTGCGTCACTCTTTAGTGTCCCCTGGTCTCCCAGCTGTGTGTGTCACTCTTTAGTGTCCCCTGGTCTCCCAGCTGAGTGCGTCACTCTTTAGTGTCCCCTGGTCTCCAGCTGTGTGCGTCACTCTTTAGTGTCCCCTGGTCTCCCAGCTGTGTGCGTCACTCTTTAGTGTCCCCTGGTCTCCCAGCTGTGTGCATCACTCTTTAGTGTCCCCTGGTCTCCCAGCTGTGTGCGTCACTCTTTAGTGTCCCCTGGGTTGCATTCGAATAGTCCATTTAGCTTAGGAACCTTCCTAACGGAGTGAAATGACCCGGAAGTCCCTCAGTGGCAGCCATGATAAGTGCCGTTCGAATTCTCTAAATTAAAAGGAAAGGAGGTTTCAAACTTCCTTTATAAACTCCTTTAGCTTAGGAACCACTGGACCTCCCTAACCGAAAGGAGAGGAGAAAATGCTGCCCCACAATGCCTTGCGGCCGCAGCATTTGCCGTCACACAACAGTCGGCCGTTCACGGAAACAACCGATTATGAACGAGAAATGATATCATGAAAGTTACGGTGCTTATTAAGCATTTTAAAACGTATGTGGTAAGTTGCCAAAGTGCTTTGTTTTGAACGTTCATCAGTATTATAATCAAAAAGAGAAATATGAACGTTAGTTTTTACTGAAATGATCAAATAAAGTCAACATTTCACAGTCTTTACTGAGCTGTGTGGGGTTTGTTCAACTTTTAAAAGATGTTTGAATGGTGATATACACAGTGATAGATGTTAAGGACTAACGTTTATAATAAATACATTTGTATTGATTTTAAGATCTTTTCATACAATCATACGTATTGGGATCATTTGTATTAATGTGGACCGGAGGGAGAGGGTGACGAGCATAAGTTTCACTTTCCTTTTTTATTTCAATTCCAACTTTGGTCATGAAGAATATGTTTCTCTGTTGTCCCCGTTCATAAAGCATAACAGCATCAGAGCACGGTGCAGAGTCTCTAGATGAGTTTACAGTAGTCCCTCGTTCTTATTAAACATCCATGTTGTAGTCCGCTGTATAGAAAACTGTAGTTTCCATAGTTTCCCCACAGCAGCAGGCGCACATTTATGACCTCTGCTGGCGCATCATGAACACGTCGGATAGTGAAAGTGCAGTCGGATTCTCTAAAGTGCCGCAGTCTCTTCTCCTAAATCCTTTTGAATTCTCCTATCCACTATCCCTTAACCCCATGACGTTTCACTCCGAGGTCAAGGAATAGACGATAGGGTTAGAACTTAGGAGCTGTTTTTTTGGAGTATTCGAACGCAACCCTGGTCTCCCAGCTGTGTGTGTCACTCTTTAGTGTCCCCTGGTCTCCCAGCCGTGTGCGTCACTCTTTAGTGTCCCCTGGTCTCCCAGCTGTGTGCGTCACTCTTTAGTGGTCCCTGGTCTCCAGCTGTGTGCGTCACTCTTTAGCGTCCCCTGGTCTCCCAGCTGTGTGCGTCACTCTTTAGTGTCCCCTGGTCTCCCAGCTGTGTGCGTCACTCTTTAGTGTCCCCTGGTCTCCCAGCCGTGTGCGTCACTCTTTAGTGTCCCCCGGTCTCCCAGCCGTGTGCGTCACTCTTTAGTGTCCCCCGGTCTCCCAGCCGTGTGCGTCACTCTTTAGTGTCCCCCGGTCTCCCAGCCGTGTGCGTCACTCTTTAGTGTCACCCGGTCTCCAGCTGTGTGCGTCACTCTTTAGTGTCCCCTGGTCTGCCAGCTGTGTGCGTCACTCTTTAGTGTCCCCTGGTCTCCCAGCTGTGTGCGTCACTCTTTAGTGTCCCCTGGTCTCCCAGCTGTGTGCGTCACTCTTTAGTGTCCCCTGGTCTCCCAGCTGTGTGCGTCACTCTTTAGTGTCCCCTGGTCTCCCAGCTGTGTGCGTCACTCTTTAGTGTCCCCTGGTCTCCCAGCTGTGTGCGTCACTCTTTAGTGTTCCCTGGTCTCCCAGCTGTGTGCGTCACTCTTTAGTGTCCCCTGGTCTCCCAGCTGTGTGCGTCACTCTTTAGTGTCCCCTGGTCTCCCAGCTGTGTGCGTCACTCTTTAGTGTCCCCTGTTCTCCAGCTGTGTGCGTCACTCTTTAGTGTCCCCTGGTCTCCAGCTGTGTGCGTCACTCTTTAGTGTCCCCTGGTCTCCAGCTGTGTGCATCACTCTTTAGTGTCCCCTGGTCTCCCAGCTGTGTGCGTCACTCTTTAGTGTCCCCTGGGTTGCATTCGAATAGTCCATTTAGCTTAGGAACCTTCCTAACGGAGTGAAATGACCCGGAAGTCCCTCAGTGGCAGCCATGATAAGTGCCGTTCGAATTCTCTAAATTAAAAGGAAAGGAGGTTTCAAACTTCCTTTATAACCTCCTTTAGCTTAGGAACCACTGGACCTCCCTAACCGAAAGGAGAGGAGAAAATGCTGCCCCACAATGCCTTGCGGCCGCAGCATTTGCCGTCACACAACAGTCGGCCGTTCACGGAAACAACCGATTATGAACGAGAAATGATATCATGAAAGTTACGGTGCTTATTAAGCATTTTAAAACGTATGTGGTAACTTGCCAAAGTGCTTTGTTTTGAACGTTCATCAGTATTATAATCAAAAAGAGAAATATGAACGTTAGTTTTTACTGAAATGATCAAATAAAGTCAACATTTCACAGTCTTTACTGAGCTGTGTGGGGTTTGTTCAACTTTTAAAAGATGTTTGAATGGTGATATACACAGTGATAGATGTTAAGGACTAACGTTTATAATAAATACATTTGTATTGATTTTAAGATCTTTTCATACAATCATACGTATTGGGATCATTTGTATTAATGTGGACCGGAGGGAGAGGGTGACGAGCATAAGTTTCACTTTCCTTTTTTATTTCAATTCCAACTTTGGTCATGAAGAATATGTTTCTCTGTTGTCCCCGTTCATAAAGCATAAAACAACAGCATCAGAGCACGGTGCAGAGTCTCTAGATGAGTTTACAGTAGTCCCTCGTTCTTATTAAACATCCATGTTGTAGTCCGCTGTATAGAAAACTGTAGTTTCCATAGTTTCCCCACAGCAGCAGGCGCACATTTATGACCTCTGCTGGCGCATCATAAACACGTCGGATAGTGAAAGTGCAGTCGGATTCTCTAAAGTACCGCAGTCTCTTCTCCTAAATCCTTTTGAATTCTCCTATCCACTATCCCTTAACCCCATGACGTTTCACTCCGAGGTCAAGGAATAGACGATAGGGTTAGAACTTAGGAGCTGTTTTTTTGGAGTATTCGAACGCAACCCTGGTCTCCCAGCTGTGTGCGTCACTCTTTAGTGTCCCCTGGTCTCCCAGCTGTGTGCGTCACTCTTTAGTGTCCCCTGGTCTCCCAGCTGTGTGCGTCACTCTTTAGTGTCCCCTGGTCTCCCAGCTGTGTGCGTCACTCTTTAGTGTCCCCTGGTCTCCAGCTGTGTGCGTCACTCTTTAGTGTCCCCTGGTCTCCAGCTGTGTGCGTCACTCTTTAGTGTCCCCTGGTCTCCCAGCTGTGTGCGTCACTCTTTAGTGTCCCCTGGTCTCCCAGCTGTGTGCGTCACTCTTTAGTGTCCCCTGGTCTCCAGCTGTGTGCGTCACTCTTTAGTGTCCCCTGGTCTCCCAGCTGTGTGCGTCACTCTTTAGTGTCCCCTGGTCTCCCATCTGTGTTTTTTTTTTTTTTTTATTTATTTATTTTTTTTATTGAACATTTTTTTAAACATACAAAAGCTCGGTGAGGATATCATCAACTTATCAACATAAGTTCAAGACATTCATTCACAATAAGACAAAAAAACATAACTAATACATCCAGTAAGAGCCAGGGGGAAAGAAAAAAGCATAAAGGCACAAAAACATTTAAGAGGCATTAAGCTTACTTAAAATAATAACCATTTGGAAATGTCATTGCAAATCTTTATAGACAGGTTACAAGATTGTATTTTTCTAAGGGACAGAAAAAAGGACTTGAACTCATTTATGAAACAGGGAAAGGAGGGCTTGCCTCCTCTCCATTTACTACAATGTAAATGGTATTTACCCAAAATAATAATTATATTTACCAAATCAGAAATGGGAGAGTCCAAATTATCAATATAATATAAAATGTGATATATTTTGAAGGCCGGAATATTTGTTAATTTAAGTAACAACCAATCTCTCACATTCGACCAAAACAATTCAGAAAAGGGGCAAGAGAAAAATAAATGTTCCAACGATTCATCAGATAAATTACAAAAGGAACATGGTTCCACTTCAAATTTAAATCTTGAATTTAAAAAAGTAGAAACCGGGTAGATTTTATGAACAATTTTAAAATGAGTTTCTTTTGCTTTAGGGGAAATAGGCCATTTTATAAAATCAGATAGAGCTTTTTCCATTACAGATAAAGTGTCTAAATCGGTCACTTGAGGAAATAAGCCTCTGTTAAAATTGTGAACTCCCAGCTGTGTGCGGCACTCTTTAGTGTCACCTGGTCTCCAGCTGTGTGCGTCACTCTTTAGTGTCCCCTGTTCTCCCAGCTGTGTGCGTCACTCTTTAGTGTCACCTGGTCTCCAGCTGTGTGCGTCACTCTTTAGTGTCCCCTGGTCTCTCAGCTGTGTGCGTCACTCTTTAGTGTCCCCTGGTCTCCAGCTGTGTGCGTCACTCTTTAGTGTCCCCTGGTCTCTCAGCTGTGTGCGTCACTCTTTAGTGTCCCCTGGTCTGCCAGCTGTGTGCGTCACTCTTTAGTGTCCCCTGGTCTCCCAGCTGTGTGCGTCACTCTTTAGTGTCCCCTGGTCTCCCAGCTGTGTGCGTCACTCTTTAGTGTCCCCTGGTCTCCCAGCTGTGTGCGTCACTCTTTAGTGTCCCCTGGTCTCCCAGCTGTGTGCGTCACTCTTTAGTGTCCCCTGGTCTCCCAGCTGTGTGCGTCACTCTTTAGTGTCCCCTGGTCTCCCAGCTGAGTGCGTCACTCTTTAGTGTCCCCTGGTCTCCCAGCTGAGTGCGTCACTCTTTAGTGTCCCCTGGTCTCCAGCTGTGTGCGTCACTCTTTAGTGTCCCCTGGTCTCCCAGCTGTGTGCGTCACTCTTTAGTGTCCCCTGGTCTCCCAGCTGTGTGCGTCACTCTTTAGTGTCCCCTGGTCTCCCAGCTGTGTGCGTCACTCTTTAGTGTCCCCTGGTCTCCCAGCTGTGTGCGTCACTCTTTAGTGTCCCCTGGTCTCCCAGCTGTGTGCGTCACTCTTTAGTGTCCCCTGGTCTCCCAGCTGAGTGCGTCACTCTTTAGTGTCCCCTGGTCTCCCAGCTGAGTGCGTCACTCTTTAGTGTCCCCTGGTCTCCCAGCTGAGTGCGTCACTCTTTAGTGTCCCCTGGTCTCCCAGCTGAGTGCGTCACTCTTTAGTGTCCCCTGGTCTCCCAGCTGAGTGCGTCACTCTTTAGTGTCCCCTGGTCTCCCAGCTGAGTGCGTCACTCTTTAGTGTCCCCTGGTCTCCCAGCTGAGTGCGTCACTCTTTAGTGTCCCCTGGTCTCCCAGCTGTGTGTGTCACTCTTTAGTGTCCCCTGGTCTCCCAGCTGAGTGCGTCACTCTTTAGTGTCCCCTGGTCTCCCAGCTGTGTGTGTCACTCTTTAGTGTCCCCTGGTCTCCCAGCTGAGTGCGTCACTCTTTAGTGTCCCCTGGTCTCCCAGCTGTGTGCGTCACTCTTTAGTGTCCCCTGGTCTCCCAGCTGTGTGTGTCACTCTTTAGTGTCCCCTGGTCTCCCAGCTGAGTGCGTCACTCTTTAGTGTCCCCTGGTCTCCCAGCTGAGTGTGTCACTCTTTAGTGTCCCCATGTCTCCCAGCTGAGTGCGTCACTCTTTAGTGTCCCCTGGTCTCCCAGCTGTGTGCGTCACTCTTTAGTGTCCCCTGGTCTCCCAGCTGAGTGCGTCACTCTTTAGTGTCCCCTGGTCTCCCAGCTGTGTGCGTCACTCTTTAGTGTCCCCTGGTCTCCCAGCTGAGTGCGTCACTCTTTAGTGTCCCCTGGTCTCCCAGCTGTGTGCGTCACTCTTTAGTGTCCCCTGGTCTCCCAGCTGAGTGTGTCACTCTTTAGTGTCCCCTGGTCTCCCAGCTGAGTGCGTCACTCTTTAGTGTCCCCTGGTCTCCCAGCTGTGTGCGTCACTCTTTAGTGTCCCCTGGTCTCCCAGCTGAGTGTGTCACTCTTTAGTGTCCCCTGGTCTCCCAGCTGAGTGCGTCACTCTTTAGTGTCCCCTGGTCTCCCAGCTGAGTGTGTCACTCTTTAGTGTCCCCTGGTCTCCCAGCTGAGTGCGTCACTCTTTAGTGTCCCCTGGTCTCCCAGCTGTGTGCGTCACTCTTTAGTGTCCCCTGGTCTCCCAGCTGAGTGTGTCACTCTTTAGTGTCCCCTGGTCTCCCAGCTGAGTGCGTCACTCTTTAGTGTCCCCTGGTCTCCCAGCTGAGTGTGTCAGTGTCCCCTGGTCTCCCAGCTGAGTGCGTCACTCTTTAGTGTCCCCTGGTCTCCCAGCTGTGTGCGTCACTCTTTAGTGTCCCCTGGTCTCCCAGCTGAGTGTGTCACTCTTTAGTGTCCCCTGGTCTCCCAGCTGAGTGCGTCACTCTTTAGTGTCCCCTGGTCTCCCAGCTGTGTGTGTCACTCTTTAGTGTCCCCCGGTCTCCCAGCTGTGTGTGTCACTCTTTAGTGTCCCCTGGTCTCCCAGCTGAGTTGTGCACCAGTCGGCCACCATAGCAGGCTGACTATGATGCAGTCACATGGGCAGCAGCTGTCTTTTTAATCCCATTGCGTGTGTGATGCAGGAACACACACACGCAGACCCTCTGTTAGTGAAGACCAGTGTGAAAATATCCTCTGAGGTTTGGTTCGTCTACTCTGCAGCATCTGTGTTGAGTGTGTGACAAACAAACAACTTAACACACATGTAAACAATCTGTGTGTGTGTTAAAAAGTCTAAAGCAGCGAGAGCAATACATCCAGAGACCGTGATCAGAGAGGACATCTGCTGCTCCTCACAGATCACACGGGACGAGCAATAAAATCTGGGAGTTTATTTGGAAGTAAACAAATAAAAACAGACTCTGCTTCGAACAGACCGCAGATACACGACTGAGGATCGTCTGTGTGTTGTTGAGAAATGAAAAAGGCAGCGGTATGACAGACACTAAAATAATATGGAGTCAAAACTACAGTACAAATGAGACGACTAAACATTATCAAGCCCAACATTAGCCGCCTTTAGCTTAGCGGTGGTGAAGTCATGTGACCGTGCTGTAGTTCCTTTATAGCCCAACATTAGCCTCCTTTAGCTTAGCGGTGGTGACGTGAAGTCATGTGACCGTGCTGTAGTTCCTTTATAGCCCAACGTTAGCCACCTTTAGCTTAGCGGTGGTGACGTGAAGTCATGTGACCGTGCTGTAGTTCCTTTATAGCCCAACATTAGCCTCCTTTAGCTTAGCGGTGGTGACGTGAAGTCATGTGACCGTGCTGTAGTTCCTTTATAGCCCAACATTAGCCTCCTTTAGCTTAGCGGTGGTGACGTGAAGTCATGTGACCGTGCTGTAGTTCCTTTATAGCCCAACGTTAGCCACCTTTAGCTTAGCGGTGGTGATGTGAAGTCATGTGACCGTGCTGTAGTTCCTTTATAGCCCAACATTAGCCTCCTTTAGCTTAGCGGTGGTGACGTGAAGTCATGTGACCGTGCTGTAGTTCCTTTATAGCCCAACATTAGCCTCCTTTAGCTTAGCGGTGGTGACGTGAAGTCATGTGACCGTGCTGTAGTTCCTTTATAGCTCAACATTAGCCACCTTTAGCTTAGCGGTGGTGACGTGAAGTCATGTGACCGTGCTGTAGTTCCTTTATAGCCCAACATTAGCCTCCTTTAGCTTAGCGGTGGTGACGTGAAGTCATGTGACCGTGCTGTAGTTCCTTTATAGCCCAACATTAGCCACCTTTAGCTTAGCGGTGGTGACGTGAAGTCATGTGACCGTGCTGTAGTTCCTTTAAATAATGATAATAACTTATATAAATGATAATAACGTGTGTGTGCAGGTTCTGGGACCTGGCGTACCCTGAGAGGTCGTACATCGTGGCGGGGGGGGCCAACGACTCCCTGCACTGTCCCTCTGTGCTGTACAGCAGGAAGATCATCGAGGGCACCGAGGTGGTTCAGGTGAGCATGCACACACACTCACGCACGCACGCACGCACGCACGCACACACACACACCAGAAGTGGTTGTGTTCATTTCTTCATGGACCCCTTGCCACGTCAAACAGACAGACGGAAGAAAAGACGGACAGACTCACACACACACACTTTGTCACACTCCTATTGGCTAATGCTCCAACACATTTATTTTAATTTTATTATTATTATTATTATTTTCTCTTCAGGAGATCCACAGTAAGCAGAAGAGCGGCGTGCTGGAGGACACCCCCCGCCGCGGACCAGACTCACTTCCTGTTGGTCACCATGACATCGTGACGGACATCGCCACCTTCCAGACCACGCAGGGCTTCATCGTCACCGCCTCCAGGGACGGCATCGTGAAAGTGTGGAAGTGACACACACACACACACACACACACACACACACACACACACACACACACACACACACCGGATACGTGTCAGTGGACGCTAACATTAGCTCGTTATGATCTGAATGGATTTCCTCCCGTTGCAGCGTCTCTCCTCTCATTGGCTGCTGTTTATAACTTCCTGTGTTATCACCCAATCACGTCTCTGCCTCGCTTTATGCATTAGTGCTCTATAAATGCATCATTTGACAGTCTTTAAATGACACACAGTGAAACACAAAGGAAGCTTTAGTCAATTAAGAACATTATTTAGAGACCAGGTCATCAAATGAAAGCAGGTGTTAGTGCCGTACTGATAGGGTGCGCGGCTGCAGATAAAGATTAGATTGTATAGTTAGTATTATTCTTATTGTTTACCTACTTGTTGTCCTTCATAAACAACACAATCCCTTCAGCCAGGCACCATAAACACATTTCTTTAGATCCATATTGGATATTCAAAAACAAATCCTTGGTGTCAGCACTGATAGTGATGTTCATGGAGCACAAATGATTTAATTTGAGAGGAAGCATGACGTAGTTTTGGGCTAAAGAGCGGACGTTTCCCCCGAACAGTGTGACACTTTGTCTCTAGTTAATAACAAATCAACTTTAGAGCGCTCAGATGTGATTCCTTTAATAACCCCTCGTTGTGTACATATACGTTATTTTAAATCTTGAGTAATATAAAGTTTGATTTGTACAAATATCCCATGATGCATTGTGTTGCTGCATCTCAATGTGTGTCCATCTGTTGAATAAAACATCTGATATCATTTCTCCTCGTGTTTCTGATCGTTTCACTCAGAAGGATTAGCATTTGATTGTGAATTAAAAAAAGGGTGAGCGAGCTGTCTGTATCTGTAGTATATGTAACAGAGGTGTGGACTCGAGTCACATGACTTGGACTCGAGTCACCAATTTGATGACTTTGGACTCGAGTCACATGACTTGGACTCGAGTCAGACTCGAGTCACCAATTTGATGACTTTGGACTCGACTTGACAAAATCACAAAACACTTGCGACTCGACTTGGACTTGAGCCCTCTGACTTGAGGTGACTTGATAATTTAATTCAGGGGTCTCCAACACGCCGATCGTGAGCTGCCGTTCAGAAGAGCAGACTCCATTCGGGGAGAGCAGAATCTCAGCCGCTGCTACTCTTGCTGTGAATCCATGCAGGCAGGGGCGGGACTTTATTCAGCTGGGCCACCATGCGGCCAATCATATGCGAGGACACACTAGGATCATACCATTATGTGAAAGAAGGGTGGGGGGCAGACGCTCCAAAGACAGCAGGTGTAGTGGTACAGGCCAGATACACAGAGCGACGGGGAGACGCATTTAAATCTTACATCTTACTAAGCAGTATTATTCTGTTGATCGATGTCATTACATTTGTTGAAAAGCACATAAGGACTTGTTTAAGACTCGTTTTGGACTTGTGCCCATCCTGACTTGAGACTTGACTCAGACTTGCAAAACAATGACTTGGTCCCACCTCTGATATGTAATGTCTGTGTGTGTTTGATCATCTGTGTGTTTATGCTTGAAGACCCTCGATACATGCTATATTTTAGGGGGCTACCCTTCAATACATTTTCAAATCCAGCTTAAGGTCGTCATCATTTTAAAACACAAAATTTAAATCCTAAAATGACAGAATCAGGATGTCCAGCGGCTGTCTCACTTCCTGTTTGTCTCTCAGCAGCTGATCAGTTAGTGAAAGAAACACGTGGAGCTCGTTTACATAAAAACACTTTATTGTATTTTCTGAAGCGACCCTTTCAAACACACGTTTCTCCATCAGCCTGCGGACCAGCGGCCGATGGAGAGAGCACCTGATGTGAAGAACAGTCTGGCAGCTCTACCCTAAAGCTCTATTTCAAAATGTTGAAGGTTTAAAAATAAAAACAAGGAAATAACTTCCTGCTGACTCAGAAGCACTTTGCTTTTTGGGAACGTTTAGACTTTCCCTGAAGGTGTTTTTAGTTTCGTTTAAAAGTCCCACAACAACATTTCTGAAGTCATTCATTAAGTCTCTGGTGTTTCCTCAGGGAGATGCATGTGTGATATTCTGTGATCTCCTCGTCCTCCTCCTTTTCCTCTTCCTCCTCGTCCTCCTCCTCACCGGCTCTTCGTCAGGCAGAGGTTCTCGCACTCGTCCTGTGTGGTGAAGCGGTTTTTGTTTCCTCCACAGCCCCCGAACCAGAAGCGCGAACACTCGCTCTGCTCCGAGTCGAAGAACCACATCATGGTGTAGTTACTGCAGATGCCCACGTCCTGCTGCTGGAAACAGCTGTCTGTAGGGGGACACATTACAGCGTTACACTCATGAGGGGGACACGTTACAGCGTTACACTCAGGAGGGTGACACGTTACAGCGTTACACTCTACTGTCTGCAGGGGGACACGTTACAGCGTTACACTCAGGAGGGGGACACGTTACAGCGTTACACTCAGGAGGGGGACACGTTACAGCGTTACACTCAGGAGGGGGACACGTTACAGCGTTACACTCAGGAGGGGGACACATTACAGCGTTACACTCAGGAGGGGGACACGTTACAGCGTTACACTCAGGAGGGGGACACATTACAGCGTTACACTCAGGAGGGGGACACATTACAGCGTTACACTCTACTGTCTGCAGGGGGACACGTTACAGCGTTACACTCTACTGTCTGCAGGGGGACACGTTACAGCGTTACACTCAGGAGGGGGACACATTACAGCATTACACTCAGCAGGGGGACACGGTACAGCGTTACACTCTACTGTCTGCAGGGGACACATTACAGGGTTACACTCTACTGTCTGCAGGGGACACATTACAGGGTTACACCCTACTGTCTGCAGGGGACACATTACAGGGTTACACTCTACTGTCTGCAGGGGACACGTTACAGCGTTACACTCTACTGTCTGCAGGGGACACGGTACAGCGTTACACTCTACTGTCTGCAGGGGACACATTACAGCGTTACACTCTACTGTCTGCAGGGGGACACGTTACAGCGTTACACTCTACTGTCTGCAGGGGACACATTACAGCGTTACACTCTACTGTCTGCAGGGGACACATTACAGGGTTACACTCTACTGTCTGCAGGGGACACATTACAGGGTTACACTCTACTGTCTGCAGGGGGACACGTTACAGCGTTACACTCTACTGTCTGCAGGGGACACATTACAGCGTTACACTCTACTGTCTGCAGGGGACACATTACAGGGTTACACTCTACTGTCTGCAGGGGGACACATTACAGCGTTACACTCTACTGTCTGCAGGGGACACATTACAGGGTTACACCCTACTGTCTGCAGGGGACACATTACAGGGTTACACCCTACTGTCTGCAGGGGACACATTACAGCGTTACACTCTACTGTCTGCAGGGGACACATTACAGGGTTACACTCTACTGTCTGCAGGGGACACATTACAGCGTTACACTCTACTGTCTGCAGGGGACACATTACAGGGTTACACTCTACTGTCTGCAGGGGACACATTACAGCGTTACACCCTACTGTCTGCAGGGGACACATTACAGGGTTACACCCTACTGTCTGCAGGGGACACATTACAGGGTTACACCCTACTGTCTGCAGGGGACACATTACAGGGTTACACCCTACTGTCTGCAGGGGACACATTACAGCGTTACACTCTACTGTCTGCAGGGGACACATTACAGGGTTACACTCTACTGTCTGCAGGGGACACATTACAGCGTTACACTCTACTGTCTGCAGGGGACACATTACAGGGTTACACTCTACTGTCTGCAGGGGGACACGTTACAGCGTTACACTCTACTGTCTGCAGGGGACACATTACAGCGTTACACTCTACTGTCTGCAGGGGACACATTACAGGGTTACACTCTACTGTCTGCAGGGGACACATTACAGCGTTACACTCTACTGTCTGCAGGGGACACATTACAGGGTTACACTCTACTGTCTGCAGGGGACACATTACAGCGTTACACTCTACTGTCTGCAGGGGACACATTACAGGGTTACACCCTACTGTCTGCAGGGGACACATTACAGGGTTACACCCTACTGTCTGCAGGGGACACATTACAGGGTTACACCCTACTGTCTGCAGGGGACACATTACAGGGTTACACCCTACTGTCTGCAGGGGACACATTACAGCGTTACACTCTACTGTCTGCAGGGGACACATTACAGGGTTACACCCTACTGTCTGCAGGGGACACATTACAGCGTTACACTCTACTGTCTGCAGGGGACACATTACAGGGTTACACTCTACTGTCTGCAGGGGACACATTACAGCGTGAGCGTTACACATATTTTCATATGTAATTAAAATCGAAAAACACTTGTAGGCCTACTGTATGGTTCTTTACCTTTGGAGCCGAAACTGGCCAACTCCGGCTGAGGGAGGATGTTCGGATCTGTGTGAGGAAACACACACACACACACACACACACACACACACACACACACACACACACTGATCAGATACTTCATTCCAGAAAGTTCAATAGCAATAAAAACACATTTAAGTTTTTTCGAGTTCTGGTCGGTTATTTGAAGTTGGGGGGGGGGGGGGGGGGGGGGGCAGTCTCTGATGTGTTGTGGGGGGGGGGGGGGGGCAGTCTCTGATGTGTTGTGGGAGGGGGATCCGGGGGGGGGGATAGCAAATTCAAAGTGTGTGTTCATACACTTCATACAATATGATCAAGGTCAAGTCCCCTAAACGTTCCATGTTATCTTGATTCCTTTGTTTATTCTTTTCTCCCCTTAATTGTTGTTATTTATGACTCTGCATGCTTTTTTGTTGGTTTTTGTCTGCTGTGTTTAGTGTTTTGATCTTGTCAATTCTGTCTGTATTGCATTTTAAAGTAAAATGCTTCAATCTGGTGCACTTTGAGCAGAATGACTAGAGACCTGATCTAGGGGGTACAACTCTAAAACACCCATATGGAAAAGATCGGTTTACATTTAATAATCAATAAGTATGTGAACATAACCAATAACCCATAGCCAATAACAAATACATGTAACGTATTTTATTTTTGTTCTTTCATATCTTATTTTACCTAGTTAACATTTATTTATTTATGCATATTTTTGTATCTCTCCAACTTTAAAGGATATGTTTGGTTTGATCCCCCTGTACAGTATTTAATTTAACATCTCATTTATTGTATATGGACACATTTATCTTATTCTTGCAATCTACCCGCACCAATATTTCTGTTGCAGCTTTTCTATTTGTGTCTTAAATGTATTGCATGTTGCGTTGTTGGGGGACGAGGACTTATAAATAAAAATAAAGCTGATTATTCAGTTGCCTTCTTCCATCTAAAGTGTCCCTTTGATTGAGATCCAGGAGAAGTGAGCAGAGATCAGAACAACATGTTTCAGACGAGGCGTTGTTAATGTCAAACATCTTGTCAATTAAAAAAAAAGTATAAGATTGAAAGAAAGTCATAGTGTGTTTGAAAAAGAATATGATGCATGATCGAGGCGTTCCACACACGCTGTCAGCAGGACTTACGCTGGCCACACGTCCGCAAACACTCATGCTCCGAGCTAAAGCGGTTAGCGTTACCGTGGCAACCGCCGTACCAGAAGGGAGCGCATGCAGCGAGCCGCGGGTCAAAGAACCAGCGCCGGACTGAGTCCTCACACTGAGAGCCAGCGTCAGCCTGCAGCCGACACCGGGCTGCAAGAAACACACACATTCAACACACACACACAACATCCTGCACGACACATGCAGCCGT